TGGAATGCTTGCCTTGGCATGAAAGTCATGGATGGGATTATTTACTAATTTGTTGCTGAAATGCAGCAGATGTTAACCTCGTGGAAATTTAAGCCTGTATATAAGGAAGGATTTGTTATCATCAAGGTTATGAAAAGGCAAAATCTGATCAGAAGTTATGCAATTTTTATGTTGGTTTAGGATTTAAAACTAATATCCAAAAAATGACAATGCTACAACTCACTGAGGACAACTCTATGTAATTAACATACATTGCAAAGAAGAGTTTAACCTCTACGCTTTAAAATGTGTGCGCACTTTCAAATGTGTTACTAATTATTTATATATTATTATTAAGGCTACATTTTAGTCTATGGGTATTTTTAGTAAAAGTCATGGACAGGTCACAGGCAATAAACAAAAATTCAGGGCCTGTGACCTGTCCATGGATTCTACTATATACCCCTGACTAAATCTTGGAGGAGAGGTGGCCCGGAGGTGCTGCGGGTGGCAGTCTGGGGGTGCCATGGGTGCTGGGGGGGGGCAGGTGGTGGTGTGCGGCCCAGGACACCTGCTGGTGATGGGGGAGGGGGTGGCAGGCTCCCTACTTGGCTCCGTGCCTCCCCGAAAGCAGGCACATCCCCCTTGCTCAGCTCCTAGGCGGAGGCGTGACCAGGCAGCTCTGCCCGCCCCCATCCCAAATGCAGGCTTCACAGCTCCCATTGGCTGAGAACTATGGCCAATGGGAGCTGCGGGGGTGGTGCCTGCAGGTGGAGGCAGTGCGCAGCGCTGCCTGGCCAAGCCTCTGCCTAGGAACTGAGTGAGGGGGATGTCGCCACTTCTGGGGAGCCCCCTGAGGTAAGCGCCACCCAGAGCCCACCATGCCCCAATGCCCTGCCCCCTCCCACACCCAAACTCCTGCTGTTGCTGGGGGGCGCGGTGGCCTGAGACTGCCCCAGCAGTGGGCAGTGCGACTGGTGCAGGGGCTGCCTGAGCTGTCCCCAGGCCAGGCACATCGGCCACTGCAGAAGTCCTGGAGGCCACGGAAAGTCATGGAATCTGTGACTTTGTTATACCAATAGAATAAAAACCAGCAGGATCTTATTAAGAGGGATAAGGCAAAGATGCCACATTTATTGTAAATATAATGGTAAAGCAAAAGATAAAAGTAAACAACGTTGTTTGACTACTTATTTTATATATATACACACATATATATATAGAGAGAGAGAGAGAGAGAGATTTATTCACACAATTATTTATTTAAGTTCTGTATAGGTGTTATAGTTACCAGCCTAGAAGTTGCTCATGCCAAGTTACTGGCCAGGTATCTTGGTCATGAGGATGGAGCCGAGTCTGTGTCAGGTGCACCTGATGCTCCTGGAGGTTGGCAGGAGAACCAGAGTCTCAAAGTCATCAGTCTTGAGAGTCCATTCTTATAGGAATTAATTCCTATGTTAGTGTATGGGAGCTGTTTCATTCTGCTGTTGCTGACTCAATCAGCAGATGGCACATTCCTGGACACATTCCTGGTGGCTCCACACTGTCCAAAGTTTGTGTTTCTCATTTTTCCAGGTGATGGGGTGGATCCCAGTTTACCCTCCGGGGGTTGTCTGGTCATTCACTTGACACATTCTTCGGCCGATGGATACTCCCTTTCTAGGCTGGCACCTCCCTAACCATTCATGTATATCAAGCATTTATCAGCATACATTCCATATTTTAACCATATTTTAATTTACTGTTTCCACCACTTTTGGGGTGTGTGCTAATTCATTTGAGACTCCCGGCCCTTTAATCACAGAGGATGGGGGTCTGTCCTAGGAGCCGTTGCTATTACAATGAAGTGAAAGTCACTTAACGGCTTATAGTGTTTGTTTACGTTGTATCAATTACTTCAAGAACAAAGTCAATTAACTTGTTTGTAAGTTTTACATAGTAATAAAGTATCTTTCACAGGATAGATACAATCAATGGTTTCTACAGACAGTAGCTTACAAGTTTTAACAGAAGACCCAAGAGATTTTTGTACTTGGTGAAACTGTTAGATTTTAAAGTGTGGGGGACAAATTATGAGGGTGTCACTGTCACTTGGGGGAATCACTGTTAGTACCTTCTTTAATATCCCTACAACTTCCGTGACCTCTGTGACAAACTCACAGCCTTAACTATTATCAAAGGCAAAGGACTTTACTCCTTGTGACTATGACTAACAGCCTTTCCCCCGTCTCCCTGAACATTTAACTAACAATACTACAGTTGGGTAATGTAAGGGGGGGAGGGATAGCTCAGTGGTTTGAGCATTGGCCTGCTAAACCCAGGGTTGTGAGCTCACTGCTTGAGGAGACCACTTAGGGATCTGGGGCAAAATCAGTACTTGGTCCTGCTAGTGAAGGCAGGGGGCTGGACTCGATGACCTTTCAAGGTCCCTTCCAGCTCTAGGAGATAGGTTATCTCCATCATTTCATTTCAAGTATTTCTAAAGCTCCCAGTTAAACATGGCAAGACCTCAGTGTGGGACTGAGGGGCCACAGATTGTCAATTCTGTTTACCAGATCACACTATCCTGTCTATTTACTCAAACCGTTACTCTTTGGAGGAAGTACTTTGTGCCCTCCAAAAAAATAAGGAAAAGCAAAACACATGCAGATTCAACACTGAAATTGAGCGTGGTGCTGTCTGAACAAATCACAAGGGTGACATTTGAAGAAATCTTCTCCAGACTAGAAAATCAATCTTTGTTTGACTTCGGTGGAAGGAAAGATTGAAATAATGAATGCTAAAATGAACTGTAGGGACAGGCTAACTCATCATGTGGCACATACTGCATACAGGGATGACTGTGATTTTTTCCCCTCCTTAATAAGCTTCTAATATGTACCATCTAACAATAGAGAATTTGGAGGCTCTCTTTCTACCTATTGCTGGATGGTAAAGCAATCCTTATGAAGGCAGTAGTTTCTGTAAATGCTGCGTGAAATATTGCGAGGATATTTGAGTCCCAGTTTTTCAAATATTGGGGTCAAGTCTTGAGCACTGCAGAGGGCATTTCTAGATCTTTTTTGCAGCTCTGGAGATAGAGAACTGGAGAGCTTTTCAGTGGAAGAAGCTAAATTGACAACCAGAACCCACATATTTACCTCTGCTTCCAAAATAGCAAAACCCATTGTCAGAATCAGTAAACCCGGTAGAGAGAAAGGATTATAGCAACCTTTGCAGGCATGATTGAAATAAAACAAAAGTCCTAAGGATGGGGGAATGATCTCTCCTTAATGCATTTTTTTTTTTTTTTTTTGTTTAAAAACAACCTATAAGGAAGTTTTATTTTTTCCTTTTATGCATTATGAAAAACTTACTGTCAGGGTGATTAAAGCACTGGAAAAAATTGCCTACGGAGCTTGCAGAATCTCTGTCATTGGAGTTTTAAAGACCAGGTTAGACAAACACCTGTCAGGAATGGTCTAGTTATTCCAGAGTCCTGCCTTGAGTGCATGGGACTGAACTAGATGACCTATTGAGGTCCGTTTCAGTCCTACACTTCTATGATACTATGCCAGAAATTAAATAATGTTAATTCAGCATGGCCCAATGGATAGAATGCTGAATTGTTAGTCAGAAGACCTGAATTCTATTTCCATCTCTGCCACTGACTTGCCATATTGCCTTGGGCAAATCACAATCTCTCTGTGAACAAAATTTCCTGCATCTATACAATGGGAATTATTTTACTTACCTACCTTTGTAAATTAAGTGAAGATCTATGGATGAAAAGTGGTATGGAGATGCTAAGCATTGATATTTAACAACATTACTCATACACCATCAAATAATGTTTCTTCTATTCATTCATATTAATCCTGTCTTCTCTTTTATTTTCCCCAAGTTGTCCTTTCCTTTAAGACTAAGTGTATACAAATTTTTCTAAAGAAAAAGGAGGATAACTGTACAATTTGAACTTTTTTGCTAACCTTACATTTTAACGCAAGTGTAAAGCTTATCTGTGCAGAAGACAGAGATTTTTCAGGGAACTGAGGACCATCAGGGATAGCTCAGTGGTTTGAGCATTGGCCTGCTAAACCCAGGGTTGTGAGCTCAATCCTTGAGGGGGCCACTTAGGGATCTGGGGCAAAATCAGTACTTGGTCCTGCTAGTGAAGGCAGGGGGCTGGACTCGATGACCTGTCAAGGTCCCTTCCAGCTCTAGGAGATAGGATATCTCCATTAATTATTATCAGAACCCCCACCACATTCTGCTTCAAATACAAGCTGCACTTCTTCAACCTTGCCTCTTCTCTAATATAAAAACACACAATTTAAAAAACACTTACCAAACAAAACACTACAGTGCACACAGTTCTCCCTCTAGGAAGAGGATCAGAGAAAGAAAGAATCACATACAACAGATGATAGTCACTTATTTGTATACACTACTGGAAAGTACTTGGATACTGCAATGATTAGGGCTATATAAGAATCTGTATAGAATTACTTGTCCTATAACTAAATATATTGATATTAGATTTGTAAAAAAATTATTTACCTAACCAGTACACCTTGTGATGAATGTATTAGAGATATGTAACTAAAATCATTCTTAAAAAATAATGTCCAAAATAATACTTAAGAAAAAAGGAAATTTCTTCTATCATATATTCCTTTTTCCACAATCTCCCCTGAAATAAATGCTCACACATTTTCTGAGAGTAAGCAAAACTACAACGGATAGGTAGCTTGAATAGAGTTTATTAGAGAATATTTATTATGGATTAAGGAAAGAGAACATTAGAGACAAAATAACTTATTAAAAATCAAAATACTCTTCTAATATATCTTTTTATATTTATAATTTTTTTCCATACAAAAATCAACTCTAAAAAATGTGTTGTAATTGGAAGCAGAATAAAAACATTTTTATAGGACAATTTGTTAAAAATACAAATTGTAAATTGATTGTACACCATCCAGTGGATATTTCAGAAAAGAAGTTTAGAAAAAAAAAACATTAAGGCCATTGAATGCATTTTAGTTACAGTTCGTGGTAACGTAATTGGCTGGGAAGATGCCAGTTTGTCCTCCGATGCTTCCTTCCCACCAGTCGAACTGTGAATTTGTTTTGGTTTTGACAATGATTTTCTCTCCAGCTTTGAAATTCAAGTCACCTGGTTGCTGTCCTTCAAATGAATAAAGTGCTGTCACTTCCATAGGTTTACTCCAATTCCCTAAAAAGAAAGATCAATTGAAGTCTTATTTTATTTTAAAAAGATTTTATTAACATGTTGAATTTCATGTACAGTATATTCTCAAATTCAGTATCCCTAAAAGATGGAAAGAATCACTAATAAGGGTAACAAATTCAGTGCATTATAGTTTTATACACACATACTCTCTTTCTCTCTAACTGCAGATGTAATGAAGCTCATTTTCAATACATTCTCAGACTGGTCTATCATAGGGATGGTGTCCCTAGCCTCTGTTTGCCAGAAGCTGAGAATAGGCAACAGGGGATGGATCACTTGATGATTACCTGTTCTGTTCATTCCCTCTGAAGCATCTGGCATTGGGCATTGTCAGAAGACAGGACACTAGGCTCGATGGACCTTTGGTCTGACCCAATATGGCCGTTTTTATAATAAATATGTCATGACACCATGAGCACAGTGAAAACAGAACCTCAATACACAGATTGCTGGTCTTCCTCTTCAGGGGGTCAATCCTGCACCATAAAGTGAATGGGAGCAGGACAAAGCCCCAGGGTGTTGAAGAATCAGCATTCTCTAAGACATAACTGAACACCAGGGCAGGCTCCAGGCACCAGCTCAGCAAGCAGGTGCTTGGGGCGGCCAAGGGGAAGGGGCGGCATGTTGGGCTCTTCGGCGGCGGGTCCCTCAGTCCCTCTTGGAGGGAAGGACCTGCCGCCAAATTAGAAAGCGGTGTGGTGGAGCTGCCACCGATCGCGATTGCGGCTTTTTTTTTTTGACGCTTGGGGCAGCGAAAACCCTGGAGCCGGCTGTGCTGAACACAGTGTGCAAAATCTTAAGAGCTATTATGGAATAACAATAAGTGTCAGGTACATATTTTCAAGCCCTGACTCCAATCATAGCCTAGTAGCACCCCATCTCCCAAATAATAAATGGCTCTCATTCCCATGATACTGGGTCATTATTATACAATCAAATCCATCTATAAAATAAGACAGGAGTATGTGTAAGAAGATGTACATAAGAGCTATTCCCTCTACGTAGGTGAACCTGGCAATGGAATAATATGTATCTAAAATAAGGAACAATCCAGCAATTAAAAGAATTAAAACAAAATAGTAACACCAAAAAATTATTTTGTATGCAGACCATATTATATGAATATTATCTTACCTGAAAATCTTTGACAAAATAAAAAGAAACTGAAGGTTTGAAAGGGTCCAGTTTTAAAGTAAATTACATAAAATCAGAAATTGTGGCCAGTAGGGCTGTCGATTAATCGCCGTTAACTCACGCAATTAACTCAAAAAAATTAAACAATACAAAACTTTAGAGCCTACAAGTCCACTCAGTCCTACTTCTTGTTCAGCCAATCGTTAAGACAAACAAGTTTGTTTACATTTACAGGAGATAATGCTGCCCACTTCTTATTTACAATGTCACCAGAAAATGAGAAAAGGAGTTCGCATGGGACTTTTGTAGCCGGCACTGAAAGGTATTTTCCAGATATGCTAAACATTCGTATGCCCCTTCATGCTTCGGCCACCATTCCAGAGGACGTGCTTCCATGCTGATGATGCTCATTAAATAAATAATGCGTTAATTAAATTTGTGACTGAACTCTTTGGGGGAGAAATGTATGTCTCCAGCTCTGTTTTACCAGCATTCTGCCATATATTTCATGTTAGAGTAGTCTCGGATGATGACTCAGCACATGTTGTTCATTTTAAGAACAGATTTGATAAAATGCAAAGAAGGTACCAATGTGAGATTTCTAAAGATAGCTACCCAAACCACCAAAAAAGAAAATCAACCTTCTGCTGGTGGCATCTTACTCAGATGATGAAAATGAACATGCATCGGTCCGCACTGCTTTGGGTTGTTATCAAGCAGAATCCCTCATCAGCATGGACGCATGTCCTCTGGAATGGTGGTTGAAGCATGAAGGGACATATGAATCTTTAGCGCATCTGGCACGTAAATATCTTGTGACGCTTGCTACAACAGTGCCATGCGAACGCCTGTTCTCACTTTCAGATGACACTGTAAACAAGAAGCAGGCAGCTGCAAATGTAAACAAACTTGTTTGTTTAAGGGATTGGCTGAATAAGAAGTAAGACTGAGTGGACTTGTAGGCTCTAAAGTTTTACATTGTTTTATTTTTGAATGCAGGTGTTTTTGTACATAATTTACATTTGTTAGTTCAACTTTTATGATAAAGAGATTGCACTACAGTACTTGTATTAGGTGAATTGAAAAATACTATTTCTTGTGTTTTTTACAGTGAAAATATTTGTAATCAAAAATAAATATTAAATGAACACTGTACAATTTGTATTCTGTGTTGTAATTGTAATCAATATATTTGAAAATGTAGAAAACATCCCAAATATTTAAATTATATTGTATTCTATTATTGTTTAACAGTGCAATTAATCACGTGATTAATCACGATTAATTTTTTTAATCGCTTGACAGCCCTAGTGACCACTAATATTACACAGAAAAAGTAAAATCACATAAGATCTCATAAATTGAAATGCGTGCCTCATTTTGTGCAACTCTGAGGAATAAATATTCTAATGAACTTTGATAAATTATAAAAAGTGATATCACAAATTAATAAATTAATAAAATCTTGGCAAAATCGAATACACTGAAAATTTCATGGTTAGAAATGGTGGCTACAATCAACATGGAATTTCTCCCTATACATAGTTTACTATTTCTAACTGTCCCTTTAGAAGTCCCCAGGATATTTTAAAATATCTGCTAATACTATTTCTAACTTTGTAAGGAAGGATAAAGGCTATGAGACGTTATTCAATTTGCTTGACCCTAACTGTGATACCCTTACACACATTTGGTAGTACCTTACTCTGCAAATAGTCCAAATGACGTCAATGGTTTTCACACCAAGTATCGTACTATTCAATGTGAGTAGGGTATCACATTCTGGCCTTTTATGGTCTGATCTTTACTGGCGGCTTGAGAGGATGCCAAGTAAGTCAAAATTGGGTTTTTGATGGAAAGCAAGACAGCTTTAATTAAACAGCTACCACAATACATTTTAGTACACATCTCTTAAAGAATGTTTTCAGCTTTAAAATGCCCGATTGCTTTCTCATGTAGTACGTGTTTGCACTGGTAATCAACAAAAGCACATTTACAATTCTGTTCTGAGAGAAACTCACCAACTTTTTCAGTCAACATTCTGCTACTGAAATGACTCAAACCCCAATAAAATGATATTCTTATGTATTTTTTTACTTTAGAGGCTTCACATTCCTGAAAGTTATGGTGGTTTAAAACATTGAAGAAAAAAAGTAAGTAAAATATCTCAGAGGGGGAAAAATATAAATGCAAGTGTCACCTAACAAATTACATTTTGAAGTCATAACTTCTTTTGAAAGGCAGTTCAAATGTAAATGTCTAATTTTGTCTATTAAATGTAATAACAACACAAACATTAAGCATTGCTTATATGATCTACTCTTATAAATGTAGAAATCATGCTCTGAGCTCTTTCTGCAAACACGGTGTCATGTCTCATTTGCTATATATTTAATAATTTCCTCCCATTTCCCTGTTCGGTCTTTACAGTTTACAGTTAAACGTGTCTTTGGCCACTGAATAGCCCATTCAGAATCTGCTAATGGAGACAGGTGATGCTATTGGGTAAAAGGAGACACCTCAAAGGGAATGGTTAACCCCTATGTGGCCTCCACTGGGCCCCTTAATATCATTTGTATAATCCTGCTCCCAGTGTAGTCAATGGCAAGACTCCTATTGACGTCAGTAGGAACAGGATTAGGCCATAGGTTTTCTCCCTACTTGCCGTTTACATCATCTAAATACTTGTGGATAATTATCATGTCTCCCCAGCCCTGTTGTCATTGTTTAACCAATGTATAAATATTTTAGTACTTTTAATCTTTCCTCATAAATTAATCCTTCCAACCTCCTAATGATTTTTGTTGCTCTTCTTTTAACTCCCTGAGCTCTGACTCTCGGCATCTTTACACAAAATAGTTGCACTGGTTTAACTAAAATCAGTTTTTAAATTGAATTAACGAAACAAGTGCAAACCCTCTGTGTGAACACACCTAAATCAATACACAACTGGCTCATATCAATTAAGTTTATCTCAGGGAGTTCAGAGAAGAGCAAGGGAAATTATCAGAAGTTTGGATGGGTGGACTGATTGAAGAGGAAAGATTAAATAAACATTGACCAACCAATGACAACAGGGTTGGGAAGACATGATAATTGGCAACAAAATCTTAAAGAACATAGCAACAGAGAGTTCTGTGGCACCTTTAAGACTAACAGATGTTTTGGAGCATAAGCTTTCGTGGGTGAATGCCCACTTTGTCGGATGCATGATGCATTATGTTAAAGAACATAAGCACTTAGGGAGGAAGTTCAAGGCCACATCCTACTTTCACTGAAGTTGATGGGAAGTCTTGCCACTGACTTCAGTGGGAGCAATACTGATTTCTTAGGGCTTGTCTATATTACTCGCTGGATCAACAGGCAGTGGGAGTCGACAGCTGAATGGAAGGGACGGGGCAGGGCTAGAGGCAATACAGCTGTGCCGGAGGAGCTGCCAGCGTGGGGCACTGGCTCCTGGGAGTGGAAGCTCCACATTCTGCTCCTTTCACCACTGCGGTTCCCAGGAGAAACAGTTCCGTGGATGCCGATTTATATCTGTGGATATCCACACCCGCGGATATAAATTTGTATCTGCACAAGGCTCTACTGAAGTCTGCATTTAAAAGGACTAACATCCCTGTTTCAGACTTTACTGACTGTACCAAATTCAGGGCCAAAATCAATCTCACTTTAGAAGACCATGAGATTTTCCATGTATTTTTAAAGAAAAATATTTACTTTTGTAAAGAAAACATTTTAAAATGCTCCTTGGCAGTCCCCACTTTTAGGTTCTCATCCCTACACCACCACAGTGCCCAAACTCAAACTTCATGTACACATAGGCCACTTTTGAAACTGACTAATTA